TTCGGGTGGCTAATTGGGATTTGTGGACCTGGCAGGCCGAAACCAGGACAAAGAGCAGAACCGCAGCTGACACTTAAAGCCCACTGAAGATCGCATTTGCATTTTCATTTGGATATGCGTTTGCATTTGCATTTGTATTCCGTTTGCCTGGCCATGAAAATAGTCATAATAACGAGAGCAGCAAAATGAGCCTCCGGGGGCAGTGGCAGCCCATCCTGACTTTCCTGTGGTGAATATTGCATTACTTTGCATTATCCTTGTACTCTGGCATGTGAAATTGTTGGATCTGCTGGATTGGGAGGGGGTGGAGGTGGAGCTGAAGGAATTGCACAGCCGCCGTGTGGGTTGTGGGTGGAGGGAGCCTCTGGTAATACTGTTATTGTTAGTATTATTGCGCTCAATGTGGCACAAAAGTTAGCTGCTTTACTGCCAGCTCCGGCCTTAGACCGCAAAGTTGGTGCAGAACTTTCTGCTCTGCTTGTGCCTGCTTGACATATAAATTTTAATTTTGCCTTCGCCAGGGACGCACCATGAAGGGGGCGGAACTTTTGCGGCATGCCACACAACAGAACGCAACACAAACACAAGACCCAGACCCAGACCCGAAACGCAGCTAAAGTTGCATTGGCCACACTCGAGAACATCTGAAGCGGACAGCAGTGGCCCACGAGTGGCATCTGCACGATGAAAAGAGCACCCGGGTGGCGGTTCAAGGCCGTGGCCAGTCAGAGGACCAGCATCAATTTATGAAGCCGCAGTAGAGAACAGACGGACAGGCAGACAGGCGGGCGGGCCCTCAACGAAATGTAATTTATCGAGTCTGACGCTTGTCAGCGGCGTGTGAAGCTGCTTGAATTTATGTGGGTCGAACAGGGAGCACGACTCCCCTTGGCCAACTTTTGTGAAGGTTGATCTAAAGACGAAGGCAGCACTTGAGTTGAAAGGAAACCAAACCAAACCCTTTGACAACTTTTAGGCGCAAACGGAAATTAAAAGTAAAGGCAAACAATTTGAAGAAAAGGGAAGGGCAGACAGGTCCTAATAGGATTGCTTGATACGTAGTACGTACACACATCTCATTCCCATGCCAGTGCTTCATATTCTATTTATTAGGAAAAGGAAAAGGGCAACGGCACATTAAACAACAGAGAACACAGAGCCCTACACTCGAAGCCACCACCAGCACCATTCATGCCCCTGTCAACCGCTATCTTCGTCTTCAGGAGACACTCCCACCTGCTGCTATTGCTACTGGTGCTGCCTCCATCCGTGGCAGCGCAGAGCCCGCAGCAAGAGTAAAAGACAACTGCGGCTTTTATTGTTTCCGCTGTTGACATTATCACGGCAGCGACACCTGCCGGGATAGGTTGGCAAGCGTTTTATTGTTTTGCGCTAGATGCAATGTGACAGATGTCCCGCCCCTGCTCCCCGCCCGCCATCGCGTACTCCACGATGTGTGTGTGCGACAGAGGCAGCCTTTGCCACAAGGCTAAAAGTCAATATCGCGCATTCGCCGCATTGGCCCATTAAGATAATTAAAAGCTGGGCCCAGCCCCCGTCCCGAGCAACAGTTGGCAAAGGGATCACTCAGTAAACATGCAAAATACGCACCGAAACAGAAGCGTCGACAAGTCAGAGACGGGCCACTCTATTAACCAACTGCCGCTGAATAATTAGACAGCTTCCGGCTGCGTTTCCGCTTTCCGGTGGCGTTTGAGTGCATAAATTATGGCAGATACTCCTCAATGGCAGCCATTACTGCACAAAAAGCGAAGAAAAACCCACCGAAGTCCGACTCTAAAAAGTAAATGCCCAGCTGTTGCTGAGGTTTTGTTTGCCAAGGAGGAAAACAAGGAGAAGGAGTGGGCTGTCATTTGACTTCGCGTTTTGTCATCGCCAGCTGGCGCCAATTGTGATTTAGTGCCGGGAATTTCTTTGCATCGCGCGGAGGTCCAAATCAAAAGTGCATAAATAATGTCAGCTTGAGTTACCGCATTGATATCATTTACATTTCCGCTCTCGCATTCATCGCAGGCATCGGAAGCGCAGTGCTTACACGCCTGTCGCTCACCTTATTTATTATGCATTCAGCAGCCATTGGAGTGATATTTTTTGTTCTATTCTTTCCCGGGCAGTGGCTCTCTGCCTCTCACCAACGCTGATCAATTATTCGGGGTCGTCTGGGGAAAAAATCCATCCATCTGAAATCCATCTAAATTACTACGGAACGATGATTGGATGCCGATTAAAATGATGGCAAATTGTGCACTACAATTTAATTACCAAAATTGACGGCAGCAATTTCTGGGCAACCGAACCAAATTGCCCGCCAGTTACCCTGTCAGAGAACAGGGCAAACAGAAAAATGGAAAACAAAACAGTAACTGTAACCCCCCAGAGCATGTCCAACATTTAAGAGAGCACTTCAGCAGAGTTTCGACGTCTTGATATCGGGTATGCGAGAAAAGTGCAAATGAGAGTCTCTCCTCCCCAGATCGGCTTAATTTCTGCCTATTCCTGTTACAGAGAAACCTTCTGTCAGAGCTTCTGTGGAACACTGATTTGCAGAGATTATACACCACTGGAAATGTCTGGTTCATCGTGGCCTGCTGTCATCGGGATTGCTTAGTCTGATATTCCCGGGATTCTGACAATGGGTGCTACTCTGCAATGCAAACGCTCGCATTTTACGAGAACTGTTTATTTGGAATGCAACGATGCATTGTTGCCACAGACCCTGTCAGCCCCTCTCCATTCGGTGGCAAACGTCAAAGGGACAACTGCAACATGCCGAAAAAAAGGCCCGAAAAAGAGGAGCCAGCCATAACCATTTTTTATGCAACGCTTTTTGCGGTTGCCGTTAACGCTGATTTATGAGTGTTAAGTTAATTTGAGGCTGCCTACTCCTATGCCCCATCGTCCCGTCGCCCCGTTGCAGTCCCTGCAGTGGCGTCCCCCGATACAGCGTTGATTGGGCGCCACAGCAGTCATCCCCCGGGTTCCGCTACTCCATCATTCTAGGCTTCCAGCCACACCGCTGCTGCAGCTCATGCATGTTTAAGAGGCACACTACTCTCCCGCAGAATGCAAATAGCTACGCTGCGGAAATGCACTTTGAGTTATAGTCAAAATACATATAAAACGCACAGTTGCATTTACGAGATCTCGGCCTGTACAAGTACCCGGGAAAATGGAGAGCGGTGCAATTTTACACCTCCACCTTGGGGGCAGTAAAACTTGGAACTTTAAACACCCCGACTTTCTTGCAGGACCATACGTGCGATTGGCCTTAAACTTTGTTTCGACAGATAACGAAAGATTCTGGTCGATTTATCAGGAGGTTAAATGCATTGGAAAACAATCCACAGGGAACAGATATGTATACTTTTGAAGGATTTCAACCAATAGCATCCATCGAAGAACAACGCTGTTTAAGCAGAGAGAAGCACTAGATCTGTTCGACACTACACCTGTTGGCTGTCATGTTGCTCGACAGCCCTTCCCTTGGTAAAATGGTCTATTTGGGTTATTCTTTCTGCATAATACTTTCCTTTCTTGTTAGCGGTAATCTATACAACACACAAAAACAAAATACAATTGTACAATTAAATAGAAGGTCTGAATAATATTTAACACAACAAAATTTCTTTTTCACTGAGAACTCTGAATACGTTTGGGGATATGCTCTTGCTGCCAATAGTTGCAGTAGAAAATCGAACTATCAATCACAATGATAAGATCGATCGACGAAACAAAACAAGCTTAAAGCATGTATTTTCTGTTAGATGTATACAACTTAGAACAACATACATTAATGGCTTCTATATTAGTATATGTAAGTAGTATGTATTCAAATATATAGATCGCACAGAACATCATTAGACATGCGTACATACAAAACAATAATAGTAATTCTGGTTCCTATATGTCGGTCCATGGCGCTTATGTCTATACAAATAGTTATGGAAATACACCGTGCCGTACATAGTGTTCGCTATCCTTCGTTTAAATAATACATATTTCACACACACAGAAGGAAGGAAAATATATGACTACAAATTTGCATTAAATAAAATAGAGCATCTATAAAGAAAGATGCTCCGTTTTCTGCATTTCTGCATTTGATTATAATTTTACAATCCGGTTTCTCCCATGTATAGGACTTTATTGAAGGTAGCATATGTTAAGGTAAAAATATGTTTTTGTATTCTGAATATTTTGTTAAATATAAATAATTAAGAGTCCTATAGACTTAGATGTTTGTATACTTAAGAACTTATTTCGAAAAAGAAAGAGGAAATGGTTTTCTTTATTCTTAGTGATTCGGATTTAGATATTAGACCGTCTATAGTAAAATTATAAGTCATGGATATCCGTCCAATGGATAGCGTAAGAGTACGCCACAAGCGGTTTCGAATTATGGTAAGAGAATGAACTATTATAGCAGGGATGTTTAATGGTACATTACTGAAGGATGGCATCATAAAGTACTATTATGGTAAAGCAACAACTTGGTCCTCAACTTACAGCCAACCCCAATAGGCACAAGTGAGAGCCACTGGCGGCCGTAAGTGGAGTTCATTTGGAAAAACTCAATAGATGGAAAGTTATGCGCATGCGATCTATGAAAGACCGTTGTGGGAAAGAGCTGGCTATATAAACAAATAATGAAAAATCGGATTTAGAGTGAGATGGCTCATTCTTGTTAAAAAGAGACAAATGTAGGAGCACCGGTACTATTTAGGGAATTTTTAACTACTTTTTGAATGCAATTTTACGGAACGTTTATTCAATCTGCAAAAGCAACTGATATCGGTATTTTTTCTCTATCACTCTCTCTTTTCACTGTTATCAGCAGTTATCAATTTATTTATTGTTATGCCGTGTAATTCGAATGTGCCTCTCAGTGGTAGCACTGAACTCGAGATAAGATTGCCACTCAGTTCAGTTTGTAGCTTCGACATGTACGGAACAGAAATCGACGAGGAAAATACGTGAAAATGCGCATCGGCTGTGCTTGGCTAGTGCCTTCCCTACTGTTCTTCCTGGAGCAGGCACTGGCGGCCAATATATTGGCAATTTTTCCTTACCGGTTTCCCTCGCCTTTCCAGCTTATCAATCCCTTGGTGCGGGCCCTCAGCCAGCGGGGCCACAAGGTGACGATGGTGACGCCAGTGAATTTCCCGCCCGACATCGAGGGAGTCCGTCACATTCGCGTGCCGTTGCTGGATCTACAAACGACTGGTAAGCTTTCCAAACCAAAAAAAAAGAGAATCGTACTGATGAACAATCAACTTTCCCGCAGAAGTGATCGAGTCAGATCAGATGAAGGAATATTTTTCAAGCAAATGGTCAGAGAGCTTTCTGACTTCTAGGGCTCTGTACAACATCTCTTATGCGATTTTGAGTGACAACGGAGTCCAACAGTTGCTGCGGAACAGAAGCGAACAGTTCGACATAATCACCTTGGAAACGGTGCACATGGATGCCCTCTTCGGCCTGGCTGGATTTTACAATGCACCCATAATGGGCATGTCGACCCTAAGCATCAATTGGGCCGTGGACTACCTGGCGGGCAATCCCTCACCCAGTGTCTATGAGCCCATCTCACCTGCAGGATATTCCTGGGAGCGCTCCCCTCTAAGCAGGTGGTACAACTGGTTCTATATAACCGAGGAACAGCTCATAGAGCAGCTTATCTACCGGCCGGGTCAGCTGCAGCTATTGAAGCAGTTCTTTGGCTATCCACCCGAAAAGCTCAACGAACTGCGGGCCCGGTTCTCAGTGATCCTGATGAACAATCACTTCAGCATGGGCCGAGTTAGAGCCAATGTACCCAACATCATCGAGGTGGCCGGACTTCATCTCAGCGAGCCCCCGGAGCCTTGCGATGAGCAGCTGCAACGCTTCCTCGACGATGCCGAGCACGGCGTCATCTACTTCTCGATGGGCAATGAGATCATGGTGAGGTTCCTGCCCGAGAGCATGCAGCACACGCTGCTGCAGACTTTCTCCCAGCTCAAGCAGCGCATTGTCTGGAAGCGAGAGGTGGAGGCGTCGGACAATAGGTCGGATAACATCTACATTATTAATCAGTCGCCGCAGCGTCAGGTGCTGGCCCATCCAAATGTCAAGCTCTTCATCACCAACGGTGGACTCCTCAGCACCATAGAAGCGGTTCACAGCGGAGTTCCCATGCTGGGACTGCCCGTCTTCTTCGACCAGTTCGGCAACATGAAGCGCATGCACTTTGTCGGCGTGGCCGAGACCCTCGATATCAACACTCTAACGGTGGAGGCATTGTCTACCACCATCCGCGCCTTGCTCGAGGAACCACGATATGCCCGCAAGGCTAAGGAGCTATCGCAGTGTTTTAAGGATCGGCCCATGAATCCCCTGGAGACTGCCGTCTGGTGGACGGAGTATGCCCTACGGCACAAGGATGTCTCACACATGCGCATGAACATTGAGGAGGTTCCTTTCATGCGGTACTACAGCCTTGACAACCTGTTAATGTTGAGCCTCCGCTTTGGCCTCATAGCTGTCTTTGTGATCTTCTTAGGTGTTAGGCTGGTCAAGATAAATCAAGCCAGGCAGCGACTAGTACATTTGTGAGAGTATATCTATAGCAGTATCAGTATAATATCATTAATTAGTAAATAAGATCGAGAATAAAAAATAATATGTAATGTAATATGTTTTTCTGCTAAAGTAATGAATACTCATACGTCCGTTAAAGCAAACCAACCGCAAAACCGATTCCACTCTAATTCCCTGATTAAAGTTAGAAACGAGTTGTTGTCTCGCCTTCCTTCGCGAGAGGGTGCACACTGCACGAGGAAGAGTGTGGAGGGAGTGAGGAAGGCCAATGCAATTTTATTTTAGATTTGGAAAAACTGATGAGGGAGAGAAAATATGGTGCATAATATTGGGCTGTCATATCTTTAACTTTTCGAAGACTTCTCCTAACATTTTTACATGCTGCAAACCAATGCCAGTGCTTATAAGTAGTGCATACTATTAGGATGATTCTCTTATATTAAGAGTTCATGTTCACGTGGACTAACTAGGCACCGCAGTATGCTCGCGAGACAATTACTCCCCGCCCGGCCTTTGGAGCAATCGAAAATAATGGGTTTTGTCAAAGCGATTGGCAAACTATAAAGTCGCCCCCTCTGTAAGGGAATATTTGTAAGTCAACCAAATCTATACACAACACAAACCGAAGTCTGAATACCCTGCAAAAGAATACTCACTGTGGCAAGAGGCAGGTCAGCTCGAAACTGAAAAGGCCATACATTACTACATTTGTCCAAACATATTATACAGGTTGTAGATACATATAAAAAATAATGATCTTATCTACCCAAAGCGGCAACACTCCCTACGAGTTCCGCCTTATCAGCTGAAATAGATAATATACGAGTATTTCTAGCATCAGCCTTTGAAATTATGAATGAAACTTGAGTTATCTATGCAAGGTTTACTATTTTACTATAGCTTTGCCTCTAAAAGAATACATTCAGTCACTATGATATTATCAGCGCACGAAAAGGAGCTTCACTGCTTGCTCTTTAATCCTCATGTAGAAATCCTTAACTGTTTTTAAGTGCAACAAACCAAGTGACGTCAGAGCTGTATAGACTTGTAGTTGTCCTTGCGCTGTGGCTGCCACACGAGCCTCCACTACAGGTTCTGCCTTTCACCTGCGTCATCGACTGCTTGCAGTGAAATCTTCATAGTTTATATTCTTCCTGGTCGGATCTATATCGAGACTGGTCTGAAAACCTTTGACCGGGGACATGTTCGTATGCCATAGTAATCATAGCAAATATTTGCGTAGAATAATAACCACAAACGTTGACACACTTACGGGGCCAGAACAACAGAGAGACAGGCAGAGTCGCCGCCAGAATGCACAAAATATGAATTCATGAACACAGGTGTAAATGAGTATCTCTCGTGCTGCTGCTGCTGCTGATATTTTCGGTTCGTTTTCCATTTTTCATTTGTATTTTCGAGGTTTATTTGCACAGTGCCGCGGCATTCTTTTGTTTACGATCTGCGCTTGGCTAAGTTCGCCTGTAAAGCGGCGAAGTGAGAACAGCCCAACGAGGTCACCAGCCCAATCCGAGAGTCAAAGAGCTCTAAGAGCTCTCTGAGAGCTGATACCTTAATGGCCCTATGTAAGAATCTTCGCCTTAATTGTTCCGCTAATACTGCAGCTCAAGTGACTTGATCATTTGATTAGGCAATCGCTTTTTGGTAATTAGTTGCAACTCGTGAAAAGTTCATTTTCATCAGATGTCTGCCATTAATTGTCGAGCTGGAATTACCCTTTACAGTTGTTATTTCATTGCCCATTGTCACTTTATTTTTCCCCATCCCCATCCACATCCACATCTACATTCTGTCTGTCCATCTTTTTCTGTCTCTGCCTTGCCTTGACTTGTTGTGCCACAGATTATTAGTCGCATCCTTGATCTCAAACGGTGAAACGAAGCTGCTAGCTGTCCCATCTCCACATCTCTGTCCAGTGTCAACTGCTTTTCCGTGGTGACAATAAACGGCAGTGTCGCCTAATTGCACGTGTCTATAGTTTCAGATAAACGAGAGCTCTTCGCCTGCGTGCCTCAAATGACCAAATAGGGCCAACCAACTCGATTTTGGTCAAGAATACGCGGCTGTCATTAGCCTGTTTGCTGTGGTACCAAGCCAATTGCCAAAAATTGAAATGTAGATATAATTTTGCATAATATATGCGTGAGCCGGCGTTTCTGCGTGGACTCGAAATGAGTGCGGCCATAATTCAAGCTCATAGAAACTCTGCTTTTCACAAACTGTTATTCAGCTGGGTCTGCCCATATATATCTGTACTATGTAGGCTGTTCCCCAAAGCGTTAAATGAAACCAGAAGCTGAAATACTCTTTCCGAAAGCCGCTCCAACTGTCTGGAGCTAAGAAGTGTACGATTATTTGAAAGTACACGTTATCTAAAATGTTCTTAACGATGATCTATGGCAAATATAGTTTCAAAATATTTACACATATGTTTTAGATTTAGTGCCCTCCTTTGTTTGTAGAGTAATTCCAATGAAAGCTAAGAATTGGTTAACCAAATGAAAGTTATTCCTAGCATGCATTCAATTCATCTCAGGTGATAAACATTCGGGATATTTGCACAGCTTCTGGCCATGATTTGCATGCCCAATCGCAGAGCGGTTCGGGTCGGGCGTACCCCGGGGGTTAAGGTATAAGTAAGAGCAATTTGACGCTTAAGCGCACCGCTGCACAGTCCCAGCTTCACTTCGTCGGCGACAGTCAAACGTGAAGCACGATATACGAGTATTTTTCGGTACGCGACAGCAAGACGAGTCCGAGTCTGAACCCGAAGCCGCAGCCGAAACCAAAGCTGAAACCGCATTCGATTTCAAAGCTGAAATCAAAGTAGGCAAAAGACTTAAGCCACAAACTTGAACTTGCTTAACAGAAAACCAATTAGAGAGTGCATCGAAAAGTGTTCAACCAGCAATGAATTGTGTACTCGTATGTGTCCTGAGGTGGCAGATCAGATCCCATCAGAATGCCATTGAAATTGTGCAAATATTTACTCCACTGCAGTGCACTGTGGAAACAGTTTGTCCAAATCGAATCTTCGGAAAATTGAGCATTGCAGTGGGCTGTCGTTGAGGCAGCGGTTGCGAGCCAGGGGTTCAACAAAAATATGTGTGTCAAATATTTATCTGTTTTGTCCGCTGTAATATTTGTACAGACGGCTTTTGTTAATGAAACTTCTTGCGTCAACATACTCCTCACGGACTCCGTTCCGACTGCTCTCCAAAGCAGATGCCTTTCCACTACTCTGTCCGGCAGTCTGTCACTCCCAATACATTTGTACTGCCTGCTGCCTGCTGTCTGCTGTCTGCTGTCTGCCAAATTGTTCGGATTAGTTCCGTTTTTGGCTGGGCCGGCTTCTTATGCAATGGGTCAAGCGAAATTTACCGTTAATTGGTTGTTTGAACGCCTGCACAAGCCAAATACTGGGCCATCATCTTCGGCACGTTATCATCTGCTTAGCTCTCGCTTTCTCACACCTCTCTTCGGAGTCGGGTTTCTCTCACTCTTTCTCCGGCAATTTCTCTCTTCTTTGAATGCCTTTTCGCTGTATCAGCTATTTGACTTATTTATTTCATTATTTTTTCTTTTTACTTTTTTCCATCCAATATTTACCTTTTTTGTTTTGCTCGCCGCTTACGTAACGTGTCGTAAGCTCGTCTGGCCGGCTTCGAGCTTCGAGTCTCAGCCGCGAGTCTCTATCCCAAGTCTGGGCTGCAATCCCCATGCCATTTGCAGTTTCAGCTTTCAGATCCAGCTCCATCTCCATCAGCAGCCGGTGTTGGATTCTCTCCCCCCAAACAATTTTCCTGCTCTTTTTCGGCGCCTACTACTGATTTTCCTGCTGCCGCTGTTGTTGCCACCTGCATTTGGCCTCTGTTAATGCCTCTGTTAATTTCCCGTTTCATGGCAACTAATTTGTGGCGCTCTCTCTGGCTGTTGGAGTACTCGTATCTCTTTCGCTCTTTGGGTCTTCAATTGGTCAGGGCATTACAAAATTGCCGCATTCTCTGCGATTGCTATTTTCTTTGGGTCTCGGCTTCGATTTGCCACATTTGTATGCAGGCTTGCGCAAAGTAAAGTTCGAGCAAACTCTGATTTGCATACGAAGCATACATTGTGGTAATCATATCTCCATACCAATATACCAATGAGCAGATATTTGTGATTTATGGCGAAAAGAGAGAGAGAGAGAGAGAAAGATTGCGCACAGCTGATCGTCGTGCAGTGCTCTCTTCCGCTTGATATTTCTCTCTTTCTTGGCCATCGCTGCAGCTGGCCAAACAACTTTCAACGAAAGTGCAAGTGTTGCCATGGCATTGTCATAACGATAAATGGCCCAGAGAGAGACAGAGAGAGAGAGAGCAGCTAGCAGGAAGTGGGAGTGGGTTACTGGTTTAACAGTGGTGGTCTCTCATGGTGGATTGGTGGGCGTGCCATGGGGCTTTTGTGCACATTTCTTCGGCCGTTAAGGAAGAGGAAACATCGTTTAGATCGAATTATCACCTATATAAAGGTTGATGTAGATGTGAATTAAGGTTGCTGTTGCCTCAAAACGCAGTTCGTTCGCTTCTTGAGACCTTCTCGCTTAGGTTTCCGGTCTTGCCATTCAATTAGTCCATTGTCATTGAGTCTGTCTGTTTATGTAAAACCTAAAATGTATACGACTATATATTAATAATGTGAAATAAACTTAAAGTCATCAACATCGGCAACTGCGACGACGATACAACACATCAAATGAATGCCTAATTAATCATACGCCCTGTGAGCATCCAAATATTAAGTGACCTCACGTAGGGGAAAAAAACACACACAACACCAAATTGAATAATGTCTGTATTAGTATTAGGCCAAGACAAACAGAGTGAACAAATTCGAAAATAATCGCAAGCAATTTGAATTTAGACCACCGGCACAGAGGCGCAGAGAATGCTGGAAAAACTGAGTCAACTCTTGTCGAGTGGAGTGGACGTAAATTAGAGTGAAGTACTCATACAAAATTGGCTCAGCTTGTGCTGGGGCTCGAGCGGTTGACATTCGCGTCTTTGTCTTGGCCATGACCAAGAAGTTAGCTCAGAAGCGTTGCGCACTATGCTCGCTCTTGCCTCGCTTCGATTCGGTATTCATTGTTGGTTATGCGCTATTCAGTATTCAGTGTTCGGTGTTCGGTGTTCGTTATTCGGTTTTGACGCTTTTGCAAACACATTAGACCAGATTGTGGACAAGCGACTAATGCATTATTCGAATCTGTTTACCCAGCAAAGATCCAAGCGCACCATGATATCCGCCAGACGGTCAGCGGGTCCGCGACCCCCGCCTTCGATGCTCTGCCTGCTGCTGCTGTCCCTGGTGACACTTCTTCTGTGGGAGGAGGGCTCCTCCATTGCCATTGCCCCGTCCACATTCGGCACGGCCATAGCACGTGCCGGGAAGATCTCCAACCAACTTAAGGTGAGTCCAATCCCCCAGGAACCTGCTTGTCTAGGTCTAAGAGTAGGTCTCTGTAGAATAAATTAAGATTCTCTGGCATAGACAAAAGAGCTGTCAGAGCTGTACATTTTGGCTGACTCGACCATTTCGGCTTTGCATTTAAATTTAAATGAAAGCCACAAATCGCTGGGCGCGTGTCTGTGACTTTGACATCGTGTCGCAAATTTGTTGCCGCCCCAAGAGCTAACTCAACACCTGGTCTGACGTCGCCGCGGTGTTTAAGTAGCCGCAATGAACGTCTCCCCGTTGTCTCAAGTTATTGTTTTCTGTTTTGGCCAAGTTGTTCGCCGTCTGCGGTAGCACTTTCTGATTGCTTTGGGCCACCAAAGACTGCATTTACATGTGCCTGCTAATGGCTTTTATGAGCCAAGGAGTCAAAGTGGTGTCAGAGGTGGGGCTGGTCAGTTCCCATAGCCAGCGAATATGTATTTCGCACATTTGTTCTGCTGAACCCAGTAGTTTTTTTTGCAGACACCCGCGAGTGGTTTGTTTGACACCTGCCAATGAATCAGGCAGTGACACACATCAGCGCCTCTGCTTGAGGAGGTCACATAAAGAATGCAAATTATGGTTTTCCCTTTAAAAACTCCAATGGGTCCCGACTACGCCTCTGTTTCAATCAGACCCAAAGCCAAGCGAATCTATCTAGGAATGCCTTCGGCAATTCATATTCCAGCAATGCAGCTGATGACATTACGAATAAATTAAGCCAGTGGAAAAGATCAGAGACGACTTGCCAATACGCTGGCACCCCTACACATTTTATACTGCTCGTAAATAGCATCACGTGACACCTTACCTACTTATCATCTGGGATCCCACATTCAATTAAAAAATATATACATGTGTTCATTATCGAAGCTTAAATCTTAAATCATTAAATTATGCCCCTGACGAGCACTATCAGAATAAATATTGCTATTAAAATATAACAACATTTCCGTTTGCCGGTCGGATAACATTGACTGATAAAACCCACAAGAGAATAACCGAGCAATGCCTGAACAATGTCTGCACCGAGCCATTGCGTGCCTTACATAACTCGGGCAATAAAACAAGCCGTTAAAAATAAACCAAAACCAAAAAAATGTGTTTACAACTTCAAACAGACAGCAGATAGACAATACCAGTAACAAGTGCAACTCAAATAAGATAAACTATCCAGTGTAGGGAGGGAGAAAGAGTGGGCTAAGCGATACCCTGGAGCTGATGGAAGAACAATAAATATAGTATTGTGCAACAAGGGAGACCAAATCATACCTCAACCTAGGAACATCACGTCCCATGACTCAGGATGCCACAGTCCCAAAACACCCAATCACATCAACCACCGCCAGGGTATTATAACGACTGCCGGGCCAAAACAAAAACGAGGAACAAGTGGAATCTAATGTGAGGCGCTGTTTGTGGCCCAAGCTCCACAGTTCGGCCCGAAACTAGCAGCGAGTGCAGCAGCAGATACAGTGGAACGGACGGAAAAGTGAAGACAGCGCACACTATTTGCAGTAACTGTCTCAGTAACTGCCGCAGTGCAAAGTGTCACCACTGAGGGGGCAGCTTGAGTTCAATAAATCAAAGTTTATAGGTTTTACATTTCAACGTGCAACAGCAGCAAATTTGTACAATTGTCGTCGGTTGCATAAAGCAAAATTGCCCGTTCCGTATCTGTGTCCGCGGCTCGCATCCCGTCTCCCGTCTCCCGTCTCCCGTGTCCCTTGTCCCCCTGTGCGCATCGTCATGCCCTGTCGCCGCCATTTGGCCTGTGGAGCTGCCGTCGTGGGCCTTGTGCTGGCCACTGCTCTAATTGTCTTTGCAATTTGTGTGCAGCGACCGAATGAATCCGGCAATCGAATGAAAACCGAGAGAAAGTCCCCCAATCCCAATGAGCCTGCTGCCGCTGTTTGGGGCGTGGCGGATTCGGATTCGGGGTCGGAGTCGGTTATCGGTGATTTGCAAGATTTGCCAGCAAAAGCATTTTTTTTAATCGCCACTACATCGACAACATCCACAACAACCACAACAACAGCCTCAACAATATCCACAACGACATCATCAGCGCCAACTGCCGCAACGGACAGCTCTTCCGGGTCACTGGACATGCGCGGAGTCCGACAAATGGCCAGTTCTACCACGGTTTGTTTGCCATACTGATAGATAATTCTTATGCAACAGCCCAGACAATTGCATTTGTAACTTTCTAGTTTGCTCATACTCGCAGTACATATTGTATTGTATGTAGAGCGGCGGGCGATCTGCCGGCCTGCATTTCATTTCGCATTTCGTTTATTTTTGGATTGCGAGCGTAGCGTGAAAGCGTCCATTACATAATGGATGCATTGTAAGTGGCAAAATATTATGCGAATGCATATGCACTGCACGATGATGATGATGATGGTGTCTGCTGCCTCACACATTTCCATATTAGACCATGTTTTTGTTGGGCTGTAAGCTGTATTGGCGCCTGCATTTGATAGCCCACAGTCTTTGGACAACATTCCACAGTTGACAGACAACCTATCCAGACTGCTTTTAATTGCTTTCTTAAGACATTTCAGGCCGCACTTCGAGTCAATTGAACAATGACCCACTTCTTAAAAGCCTTATCCACAATCCACAAACTTCAATTTGTTCGGATATCGAAACAAAAGCTAACAAGCGCATTAAACAGTTATAATTAAAGCCAAACGGCGATGCGAATAGAGCCAAATTGAAAACTGTTATAAACCAGCTACACCCACATTAGCATAAGCCCAAGAAACAGAAACAGATACAGATACGGATAGAGCTACGAAATGAAACGACAACATTTCGAATGCAAAACCAATACAAAACTTGACCGAATTCCGAATACCTCTCACGCACTGAAGCACCCTTCCATGGTGTCTGCACCCCATTCGCGTCATCCCAGTGAATGTTGACTTCGGGTGAGGGTATCCGGCAAAAGTAATTAGCATAAAAACTCATAAAATTTGAACTTGAAACTGGCCTGGCCATTCGTTGGGTATTTGTGGAGCTCCACAACAACTACATAGACTCGTAGCCAGAGCAGACCATCGTCATCTAACTGTGTCATGATTCACTACGAGACACACACCTTAATGAGAGCTCCAGTGGCTCTACGGCTTCGGCTGTATCCAAATGCGAGTCTGGCTAATGCGATCGTTTCCTTTGGCAGCACGTGACTGTAGTTGTTGTTAATTGCCATGCCCCCTCTCGAGCTTTGTGTCCGAGTGTTGTGTAGTGATGCAAATGGTGTTTCAATTAAATGAAATTTCATTTGGCAGCAGCAGTCGGTGAAGGTTGGCCGTTAACAGTTAACATCATTACAAATTGGACAGCCCCAAAAATTGTCAACGTCGGACAGACGAACCCAGTGAACTTGGACTGGGCGATCTGCGTGTTTTCGTAAATTGCTCCACTATAGTAACAATGCTCCAATCTTTGTATCTTTGTAATTGCAGGAGACGACGGCCTGGAAGACCCTGACCTCGCATCCGAACTCCCTCGTGCAGCTGCTGCCATCGCGGGCGATGCGCGTGGTCCAGGAGGTGGTGCGATCTCTGCGGGTGAGTCTCAAGCCACTGGCTACGGCGACCTTGACGAGACTTGTCAAACATATGTATAAATCTGCCTGACCCAATCAAATCTCAACTTGAACGTGGGGAGCCAGCCAGCTGGCCAAACATGGCCAGGCTGCAGCTGCAACAGCAAGAGCAACTGCAACAATGCCACAGCCAAATCAACTTCAACTTGGGGCTGAGGTCGAGTCAATAGCAAAGAAAGATCTGACATTTGAGAACCGCCCGTAACATATTCTCGGCCTGAGTGGAGGCGAGAACAGGCTTTTTTTGGCCATCGCCATCGCCATCGCCATCGATCAGTGGCCATTGACCGAGGCAATTGCGCAACACGTGCACCATGGCACACTTCCCCAGTGCCGGTTCTAATGCAAATTCGTTGCGCAACGCTGCATTCCAAACATTTGATAGTTGAAACCGTATTAATAAGCAATTAAAAATGCATCAAAACTTAACATATTAACCTTTTGTTCCGCCTTCCTCTGCAAGCAGAAGGAGCGTGAGATTGTGGCCACCACAACGCTGGGCAAGGTTCGGGGACGCTACCAGAAGTACCGCTCCGGAGAGCGAGGAGGCTACTACAGCTTCAAGGGAATGCGCTACGGAGCAGCACCGATCGGAGCCAGAAGGTGCGTTAATCCCAGACAATTACGTATATGATATATATACCATATATTTACACTCGCATAGATTCCGGTCGGCAGAGCCAGAGAAGCCTTGGTCTGGCATCCGCGATGCTTCGAGGGAGGGCCAGAGCTGTCCGCACAAGAACATGATCCTAGACACCTTCAAGGGAGACGAGGACTGTCTGTTCGTCAACGTATTCACCACACGCATGCCCAAGGAGGATGAGGAGTCCAGCGAGCAGAATAGGCGGCCAGTGATGGTCTGGCTGCATGGTGGCGGCTTCTCCTTCGGCTCGGGCAATGCCTTCCTCTACGGACCCGACTATCTGGTGGCGGAGGACATAGTACTCGTCACGCTCAACTACAGACTGGGACCACTGGGCTTCCTCACCGCCGGACCCGATGCACCCGGCAATCAGGGACTGAAGGATCAGGTGCTGGCCCTCAAGTGGGTGCGCGACAACATAGCCGCCTTCGGTGGTGACCCCGCTCAGGTAACAGTCTTTGGGGAGTCTGCTGGGGCTTCCTCGGTGCAGCTGCTCCTGCTGTCGCCCATGGCCAAGGGACTCTTCCACCGCGCCATCTCGCAGAGTGGCTCCGCCCTGAATCCCTGGTCCATGTCCGCCAATTCCAGCAAGAGAGCCTCCCGCCTGGCAGCCAATCTAGGCTACGTGGGTGCCAACAGAACAGAGGAGATCCTGGACTTCTTGCGGCGCGTGCCCGCGATGAAGCTGGTGGAGGCAGCGCCGACCACCATCACGGCAGAGGATCAGCGCAACAATATCGGACTGCCCTTCGTTCCAAATGTCGAGGGCTATTGGAACCAGGACTCCGAGGAGGAGCAGTTCTACGAGCAGCCCTTCATCACCCAGCATCCAAGTGACATGTACCACACGCAAAACTTCAACAGCGATGTGGCCTACATGACAGGCTATAACACCCATGAAGCAATGCTCTTTATAAGAAGTAAGTGTGGGGCATTCCCTAAAGGTAACTTTAGACTAAACCATCTTCAACTCTTCAACTTAGGACTTCGAAAGAATCCCCAGTTGCTGGGCATAATTGAGAACGACTTTGGACGCCTGGTGCCACAGGACTTGAATGCCACCCATGTCCATGACAGGGTCACCCGCGAGATACGCTCCTTCTACCTGGGGAACAAGCATGTGGGCATTGAATCCGTCGATGAGATGATAGCGGTGGGTGCACTTACCACTGAATGAACTTCATATCATTATAATGCACGATCTTCTATGGCAGCTCCTCACTGATCTCATGTTCCTGCAAGGCATTCGCCGCACTGCCCGTAATCATGCCAAGTATGGAAGCGCTCCTGTCTACATGTACCGCTTCTCCTTCGATGGTGCCCTGGGGCTGTACAAGCGGATGCTGGGCATTCCCCGACCGGGGGTCTGTCACGGCGATGAGCTGGGATATCTCTTCAAATTTGGCTTCTTCAACCTGAGCCTGGACCCCAAGTCGCTGGAGGTGCAGGTTAAGAATCGCATGGTGCGCATGTGGACGAATTTCGCCAAATACGGGTGAGTCTTAGAGAGAAGCTCCTCGAAGTTTTCTTGAATTTCAATTTGTTATGGTTTCAGCACACCCACGCCCGATGTTGAGGATCCGTATTTGACCACAAAGTGGGCGCCCATCGATCCATCGAATGTGATGAATAGCCTCAACTACCTGGACATCTCTGGAACTCTTGCCATGAAGACGAATCCAGAGCCGGAACGACAGAGGTTCTGGGACGAGATGTATCAGCATTACAATGGTGCTGCCATGTAAAGTGCACACGCACACCCACACCCACACATGCACCACACACTCACTCACCCACACACAACACATATACATGAACACATATTTCGTATTGCCATTTTGTGAAAGAGAAAGAGCGCACGAAAACCAGAATATTTAAAAGCAAACTTCATTGTACAATTTTCGTAGTCTGTAGGAATTTCTAGCTATATTCTTAGCTATATTACTTAGCATTTTAGCTTGTAAGTGTTGCAGCATTTATCCACCCCAACACCCACCCACACCCACACCCACACCCATACACATACACACTGTTCTGATAACCAAATGTCAAGATATTTTTCCTTACAACACCATATACCATATATAGTACGTGTATCGGCAATAAGCAGGTGTAAATAGTCAGAGTCCATCTTATGTCGAAGAATGCCAACCAGAGAACCCTTTTACGATGTTTTTGTAAAAAGAAATAAATATTATTTTATTATTAAATTCAATTGTGTTGCTTTAGAGGGATTTGAAAAACGGTTGAGAAGGCGCTTTTACCGCCTTGCTGTCACGTCATCTAGCGGTGAAGAAGTATTATACTTTTTGCTGCATACTTTTGGGCGGGTCCCGCCATCTAACGGTGGCTATTTGTGTTGAGTAACTTTGTGGTGAAAATCTTGGATTTAAAAATATTTTCGCAGAAAATATAGAAATCTCTCAGAAATAAGCTAATAAGGAAAGTCAATCAAAGCAAATTGCTGACTTTTACAGAAATAGCCACACAGCCGGAGACCTTTCCATGGATTTGCCAATAAATTAACACCCACAGCCTGGACGAGGGGATCATAAAGTGGCTGTTTGATTGACTACAAATTTGCACTTGGCGCGAGTTGCGTCGCCCCCCGAACGGGTTGGAGTGGGGAACGACACGAGTATCTCAGTTTGTATGTATCTGTATACCACATACGAATATATCTCAGGGGGGTCGCGCACTCGACTGCTGGGCAACAAAGCTGATTATTCAATTATAGCAGCGGCTTTGGCGCTCTTCATCAGTGGCTGCGGCTGCGGCTGCGACAACGGCTGCTGCCATTCACAATTTAGTGTGTCATAAATTATGCTGTTGCTGCCACACGGTTATCATTGTGACCCCGCACACAAGCCACCTCCCCTAGACACGGGCATGGGCATGGACATGATGGGCATGACGGAAGAGAATTGAAAAAAGCACTACCGCATGGAAACCGAGCAGGCTAGCATTTGGATCACGGGTTGGTGACATTTCGGAAGTGTTACAAAAGTCAGTTCATTACACACCAAACACACAAACAAACAAACAAATGAAATTAGTTTTTATTTAAAATTTTACAAGATGGACTCTACGAAGGTATTGGCAGTGGTCAATCGATTGGGTAGCACCATGAAGGCGGTCCGTGTCTGTTTTCTCCGAAATGGGGATCCATTCTTCCGAGGCGTCATGCTCTCTGTGTCGCCATGCAAATACAAAGATTTTGGCATACTCTTGGAGGACGTAACCAGCGTCCTGCACTCACATGTCGTGCTCCGATCGGGCATCGAACACTTATGGCGCACTAATGGCACTCCGATTACCTTTCTGGATTCCTTTTTGGATGGGGACATCGTCGTCTGCTGCTGCCGGTACGAGAGGTTCATCGAAATGGACTACTCTGTGAGTAGACATTTTGGACGGCTGCGGACAGCTATTCCACGCTGGATTAACAGTCGGAAGGCCTCTAATGAAACGATGCCAAAGGTCCTTCCCGACTCCGTTGCGATCTACATTGATGAACGCTTCAGGTTGGTGAATAGCCAAACGACCGCTATCTGCTTGGCTAAGCCCAAGACGAAAGAAGTCCGGAGATGCATTGTCAAGGTGGTGAACGAGAAGTACATGCTCAATCGTGATGCCAAATACAAAGAAGTGGAGATCATGCGCAAACTGCAGACCCATCCGAACGTCGTTGATCTGATTTTCACCGTTCGCAGGCCGGGGTACTCGTACACCTTTTTTGTGATCGAGTGCATGGCCTGCAGCGTGCAAGATATGAGGGCTCGCCAAGGCAGGATTCCCGAGCCCACAGTCCACAGGGTCATGAGAGACGTCGCCTGTGGCCTGACCTACATACACGCCAATGGAATCATCCATCGCGACATAAAACCCGATAACCTGCTCTTAAGTTTTGCTGACGGTGTTTTAGTTGCTAAGATCGCAGATTTTGGAGCGGCTACCTATTTCGAGGACGGAGCGATGAAGGGCTTTGTCGGAACTGCAAAGTACATAGCTCCCGAGATGATTCTTGGCTATAAATACGACTACCGGGTGGATACCTGGTCCTTTGGTGTCACTCTCTTTTGTATGTTGTTCATTCAGCACCCCTTCGGCACGGGATACACGGATATTCGTGATATCTGCAACGATACTGTGGTTAGTGAGTACCAGTTCCCTTTGGAACTCAAGGACTGTATCAGCGAGGATGCCAAGAGTCTGATCGATGCGCTGCTGGTGAAGGATCCGATCTTGCGACTCACTTCTGCTGAGATTTCCCAGCACCCCTTTATGCTCAGTGGCAGCATTACAGATTCTGAGAGATAAACAAAAAAGTATTCCAAATCTTTATAAATGTGCTCTAATAACATTGAAACGTGGCTAAGAACAATGGTCGAACGTTGCTCAATGGTCAATGATTTATGTTCTGGGTGTCGAATTTTAATTGGTGAAACGCTTTCAAAATTAATTACGCATAACTTTTGTTCGCACCGTGATTCTCTATATTCGAGCGTACACTTCTGTATAATTTACGAGTATTCGCACATTGCAGGCAAAGGTCGGAGGAAAAGAATCTCGTTTAAACAGAGATTCGTGCAAACATTACGTATACGCCACCTTGTACTCGAAGGCGACAATCGAACGGAGTTGCTTGGATGTTGGAGTAACATCTTAAGAAAATAGGGTGTACATAGTGAGTGATATATCTATACTCATTCATTTGTTTGCGATCGCAGCAGTCACAGCTATTAAACAGCGCAGCGCATACTAAATATTACGTGTACGCCACCCCCTGCACATTGCGCCTCAAGGTCGCCTGCCTCCTCATTTCTTCTCTCTCCAGTGACACACACTCTTTAAATTCAGATAAGGAGAGCTTATCACGCTTATCTTCCGCTTCGTTTTCAATTTACGAATCATTTCAATTGAACTTATTCCGTGGCAGAGCAGCCGTCAGTTTTATCTGTCGGCTCTATCTGTAAACGTATCTGTATCTGTATCTGTGGCTGTGGCTGTGAGCATCGCCAATCTGCAATGTGAAAAGTGTCATTGTGTCTGTTTGTGTACTTCTCTTGTCTGACATGTGTGAGTGTAAGCGAGCTCATTTACAGCACCGCTTTCTGTTCACAACTTTTGTTTAGTTTGAAAAATTTTCTTGCTGTCGGCGGCAGGCGGCAGTCGGCCGTCATTTAATCCATTGGACTGACTTGCGGATCTCTCTCGGTGTCGCAGTCGCAGTCGCAGTCGTTGTTGCTGTCATCGCTGTTTCTGGTGTCGGTCGTGGTCGCAGCTTCTGTTGTCTCTGTCCGCAGTGTGTTGTATGTTGTGTGCCCTGTGATCTCTGGGGCTCGCCTCATTCCCGACCAGACGCGCGGCGTTGAAACAAAGCGAATCCCATTCTGCAGAGATCGTTAAATTATATTTGTTTCGATTGTGACCGATTCGTCGCTCTAGTTGAATCAATACCGGGCCACAGTGATATGAATGTTGGAGGTCTTTAGCATAACAAAAGGCCATCTAACATCGAACAAATGATCGGCTTAAAGGTGTCAATTAATTGAACATTTCGTTTGCTCATAAAAAGGTGCTAAAATTATTTAAGCTGAAACGTGCCTAGCCAGCTAATTTCAATTCAATTTGTGTGGTGCTTTGTTAAGGTATTCAGTCATGGTATTCTTATGTTTGATCTCGTAAATAGTGCGGAAAAAGACTGTAATCCCTGATTTCTGCTCAGTGATTCTCATTTCTGTTACGTTCATCTCTTGTTTACGCTTACAACATCCGCAAAAATCTGATCAGAATCAGCTGACATTTCTCGCACCTGCCTTGCACTTATCACAAGTTTCTGTTTGCCCACTCGGGGAGATACTGATACTCGTACTCGTACATACTCGTACTTAAATACATTTAATTGAAAAAGTAACTCAAGCGACTCCTCCAACCGACGTCCCACAGATGCGCTTCAATTTCTCGAGCCACTCGGCTGCCCCAGCAGCAACAGCCACTCCAGCGACAGCACCAACAAATGGCAACGAGAAGGCCACCCAGCCGTTGAAGAGGGGCATTGAGGCCGATCCCGATTCCCTGGACAGTGTGATCAGCAATCCGCAATCGTATCCCATCACCATAGTGCCCAATCGCCCCGCGAGCTTCTATGGAGTAGCCCCAAATGGCAAGGCATTTCAGCGCCAGCCGAGCTGCAGGTGAGTCTGAGTTTGAGGGGCCGACGGGTATTTGCCTAGTCTAAGTAGCTCAGTCAATAGTTGAGCATTAGTTAGAGGTTCTCTAATTGGATCAGCCAACTCTGGGGCGCCCTGATGTTGGCCTGGCTGGAAGCGTGTGGCGAGGAACTTCAGTCGAGTGTGGTTGCGCGAAGTCAGAACGTCATAAGTCAGCAGTCAGCAGTCAATCAGTCTTTCAGTATGCAGGTGCCGCTTAGCGATGTCCAGGTCCTGCACGATCCTGCCGATGCCGAGACCATAGTCGGTAATGCTGGCGGTGACCAGGAGGAGACCTTCGCCCACATGAAAGAGTGGAAGCGTCAGTACATGAGGGGCATCTCGCACACGCCCTCCCAGGCTGGAGTCTATTACGAGGCCCTCAAAGGATCTAGCCACTCGTTGGCCAAGGGGTGCGCATATCTAATTATGATAATTGTCTAAAGAAACGTTCCGTTCCGTCTGTAGAGTATGTCTTTCCGGACAGTAATTAGCTCGTCAAGGGGTCTGACATTCAACTTGAACTTGCCGACAATCAATGGGACTGGGCCTCTAGGCTGTTATGACTGCGTGTCACGTTGTCGCATCTCATGGGCTGTTTTGTCTAGCTGATTAGCAGAGTGTTCCTCTCCGTTTGCGGTTGTAATTTATCTTGTTCCGCCCACAGTCTCTTTTTGTTATACATTCCTCACTGCAGATTGCATTCTGTTTGATTTAGGGGCAGGGCCAGGGGCGAATTATACACTGTCTCTCCTAAATCTCGGTGATTTGTTCTCACATTTGTCACTCGCTAAACGCTTTGGCTGAGGGTTTCCCACTGGGGCTCATTTCCCATCTCTCATTCACTTCCTTGCCTATCAAGTGTCGGCAGCTTTGGAGATTTTTCGGCTACTGCGTTGGCGGTTCAGCGTAATGAAAACAATCAAGAAGCCACACAGCGTGATAATGAATCATCTTACAGAACTACTGACATACTGTACATATATTCCTCTGACCGAGCGTTAAATTCGATTAACGACTGCTAGTGCAACCGGCACAATGCCAATTAATCGGCTCTGTCTCTGGCTTTGACTTCGAGTGTCAATGGGGGGGTTAATACAATTTGCAGTTGAGCGTTGCCATCACATGTGGGTGTTGCAATTGCCCAGAGCGGACAGGCACGGGCAGCCAGCCCTATTAAATCGCATAGTGACAACTTGTGGCAATAAGTAGACACAATAAATCAGACACTTTGTGGGTGAGCTGCAATTAAGCCAGTTATCGGAGGAGATAGACTGCGATTTCTCTGGGTCTGGGTCTGGGTCTGGTGCTGGTTCTGGTTTTGATCTGGTCGCCTTCCGACATTGGCATTGTTAATTAGATGCAATTCTCGCGGGCTCTGTCCAAATGAAGCGAGTGCAAATGTGCACACTTAATTTACACAAATTAAACAGACGATGTCTGGGCATCTAATTCTAGATGTCACTTGAATAAATCATGGACAGCAAATGGCATTGAAATTCTCTACAAAATAAACTCTAGATTAGGAAGAGGTCTTCACTTGAAATTTATCTGAGCTTGAATATCCCTCAAGTATGACGATTCAAATCTATGTAATTTTCCTAAAATTGGGAAAAAATTAATGAAAGGAGTACCATTTTCGATTAGCAAGCTTTATGTATTTTTTATGTTTATTTATTTCGGCTCTAAGTTGATGACGAATCAAATATGTCAGTCAGACAATAAAACTACTCAATACGAGAATAGTATATTTATAAAATCGTTTTTGGCATACGAATAATATATGTAACCCTTGTGTAGAGACATAGAGTATTCCGAGTCTAAGGTCCATTTTTTTTTAAATTTTCGGAACAAATCAATTTATTTTTCCAATAATTTTGATGCAAGCCACTCGGTCAGGGAACAATTTTACATGTATTCTCAGATGTATTCTACGGAGCTTAAGCAGTAAATGCTGCATACTTTTGAGCTTGGCCATAAAATGTATCCATAGTTTTCTGATAACAGGTTTTCGCATGTTATTTCGTCGCATTATCCAAAATCGTCCTTCCCTATGAAGTCAGGGAAAATAGTTTCATTCCTTGATCGATCTTTGCTTTTCCCCACAACAGATCCCGCAATTTTCGTCCTGGAAGTATGCGGCGAGTGCGCAGAAGAGCCGTGTTCAAAAACGGTGACTGCAATGTGGTGCAGAAGCACCTTCAGAGAAGGCGGGTCCGGTTTCTGCAGGACATGTACACAACGATGGTGGACTGGCAGTGGCGGTGGACGCTCCTAGCCTTTGCGCTGAGCTTCATACTCTCGTGGTTGTTCTTTGCGCTCATCTGGTGGCTGATCATCTACACACACGGGGATCTGGAGGAGCTGCACATGCCGGACAATCAAGGTGAGTGAAGGAACCGAAACCTACATTGATCTTAATAAGAGATTATCACAACATTTTGCATTTCCCAGAGGAGTCTGGATGGGCGCCTTGTGTGTCGGCCATTGATGGCTTCACCTCCTGCTTTTTGTTCTCCATTGAGACGCAGCACACAATTGGCTACGGCGTGCGGACCACTTCTCCCGAGTGTCCCGAGGCCATATTCATGATGTGCTTCCAGTCCATCTATGGCGTGATGTCCTCGGCCTTCATGGCGGGCATCGTCTTTGCCAAGATGACCCGGGCCAAGCAGCGCGCCCAGACGCTGCTATTCTCCAAGCAGGCCGTCATCTGCCAGCGCGACGGCTGCCTGTCGCTGATGTTCCGGGTGGGTGACATGCGGAAGTCCCACATCATCGGCGCCGGCGTCAGAGCCCAGCTGATTCGCACGAAGAGCACCAAGGAGGGTGAGGTGATGACGCAGTACTTCACGGAGCTGGAAATCGGCAGCGACGACTCGGGCTCTGATTTGTTCTTCATCTGGCCCATGATCATCGAGCACAAGATCGACGAGAATTCGCCGCTGTATAATCTGAATGCTACTGACATGCTGCAGGATAGGTTCGAGATTGTGGTCATACTCGAGGGGACGGTGGAGTCGACGGGCCAGTCCACACAGGCCAGATCGAGTTATATCAACACCGAGATCCTGTGGGGCCACCGTTTCGATCCTGTAGTGCTGTACAACAAGGATCTGCAGGCCTATGAGATCGACTATGGTCGCTTCAACGAGACCACTCAGGTGGACACGCCCCTGTGCAGTGCTCGTGAGCTAAACGAGATCTACAAGATCCAGGAGGGCTTCCGCACACCAGGTATAGAATGCCGGCCGATACGCCTGTAACTGTTCTCCCTAATGTGTTGTCGCCGTTTTGTCCCGCAGAAACCACCTTCACCATGCGTCAGCTGTCCCACAACCATTCCGATCAGGCTTCCTAGAGCTCACGTCCAGTGTCTTGTATTTCCATGTTATGTTGCTATAGTTTGTAATCTCTGTCTCTGTTCTATGTGAGTTTCATCAGTCTGTTAGCTGTATTGCCTACTCAATGTTGTTCCCTTCCAGCTTCCCCCACGATCCGTTCGAGGCCCTCTAGTTCCAGTTCCGGCTACCAGTCGCCCCAGGACCGTCGTCTGCGCTGGCAGCTCTCGGTGCCCTTGTAGAGCCTCCACTCCACTCCACTCTATCGACACTTAAGGCAAAGCTAAACTGCTCTTACCCATACGAAAATAAGTTAATAAACGCTCGAGTCCAAATTGCATGTCCCTGGAAGTCCATACAAATGACACATAATTGCCTCTCTCTCGCTGCAAGGTACAGGTACGAGGTACGAGGGGCAGTTTCAGTGGCAGTGCCAGTGCCAGTTGCAGTTGCAGCGCTTTGCGGTCCAACCCACTCATTAGCCATCATTAATAATCCGGGCATATCAATGCAAAAAGGTGCCAAAAATGTTGCACACCTAAAAAACAAGTTCGTTGCTCAAGTCTTTTGTTTGTGGGCGACACTCCACTGCCACTGCGGTGGGTTACGGCTACGGTTACGGTGACGGTGACGATGACGGTTACGGATCGGATTGGATCTGATCTGGCGCTAAGGCTCAACATTCATATCCTTTTAATTGAAATTGAATCAATAACTCTTATTTGCGCAAACTAATCAACACTAAATTATAACACTCACAGAAACAACTCGAATATTTATTATCACATTTATCACAGCGCAGCGCTCCCCTTTGGCTGACAGGGGCAGGGCAGGGCAGGGCTGGGCGGGAATCTAATGAAATGTGGGTGTGGGTCAGATGTATGGTATGCCCCATGTCTTAGCCATAAATACAATGCCAAATTTCAGCAACTCTATTACAACTCAGCCGAAAAAAAATTAGCGAAAAAACAAAAAGCTCTAGAAAAATGGCGTAAACGAAATCGAAATGAATGTTGGCTGCCAAAGGCTTAAGGCAGGGGATGGGTGGGGAGTGTGGCTGTGGTGCAGTGTGCCGCAGAGTGGGGTGCTGCCGTGTTGAGTGCTGGCTGTGCTGCGTCCTTAACCCACTTATATCGCGGCTGCAGCACTAGAACATGCCAGCAGCCGAGCGGCGGACGTGGGGCGAGCTTTATGTTTAATTACTTGTTAAATGTTTTGTCGCTTTTATCAGCACACATGCTTAAGAGCTCCATTAGCCCCTGCTTGAGCACCCACTACTCGGTGCCTGCCCAGGCTCAGGCCCCCAGCTCCGTTGTACCGTTGCTCCGCTGCTCCGTTGGAGTGACATGCGTCGCTCCATGGCGGTGGAAGCCATGTCCCCATACCGTTTGGCTCTTGTGATTGGCTTCGCCGAAACGTGCCCGGCTGATCGAAAGAATTAAAATATTATTCGCGCATGAAACGTTGCAGGCATCGAGCGCCGCATGTGGCACTCTGGCTATGACTTCGGCTTAGCTGTGGCTGTGGCACGTTTCGAAGACAAAAGGCGCCACCCAAATGGCTCCATCCACTCCAACCCGCAGGTCACAACTCCCCCCCACCCCCCAAAAAATATATATATATCTGCGAGTTGGGCCAAACAATTTTTCGTGTAGCTTTTAATGTGCGCCACAGACACGTGAACAAATCATGGGCCACAAACGTGGTCGCTTTGTCAGGCTAAGTATGTCGAATACTGCTCGAAGTTGACACAGAAAGAGGCAGACGCCCCATGAGCTCCGAAACTGGAGCAGATGGGGAATTGGCCTGGAAACACCCTATATTCGTCTTAGGCAACGATATTTGACAGCCCAGTGTCGACTGGGACCATAGCCTAATAAAGACATCAATTTGTGCGATCACTCACGTGGGTTTCTCGAAGGGATCGGGAGGAAGTGGAGGAGCTGCTGATAAACGAGGCTGCAAAACAAGCTTAAAATTAACTGCGGCCCGGGAACAGGCACAGGCACAGGCCCAAGCAGTGCGAACAAAACAAAAGGTAGAACATGCTACATAACTCATCCATAATCAACACTGTTTACATAAATTTCAAAAATTATTACACGGCAACAGTGGCCAAGAGGGAACTCCATCAGTCTGAGGATCGGTTCGGGACTGGAACTGGGACTGGGACTGGCTCTGGGCTTGGGTTTGGGTTTGGGTCTGAAACCTGGAACTGGGAATGCGTAGTGGTGTGGATACTGGTGGAGAGCGCGTGATGAATGCTTAAATAATGCGCTTAACCCTGTGCGAACATAATTTATGGTGTGCGGATATGCATGAGTGCCAGTGAGTGCGAATACGAGTACGAGTACGAGTATGGCCTGTACGAATACTTGTAAGTACGAGCGTACGAGTGTATGGCCAGTCGGTCAGCACAACACACGCTGTTTTCATTGTTATTACACGGACGTTGCCGTTGACCAATCTGTACCGCTGCACCGCTGAACCGCTGTGCTGCTGCCCCTCTGCCTCTGGGGTTGTGTTTGCTGCCATTTTTCCCAAATTGATTAATTACGGTCATTCTGGGCCGGCAACGGAGGGACTTACTCGTACGTATGGCCCAGCAGCCGCTGCATAAGTAGCATAAAATGCCATAAAACGCTGGCCAGGAAGCCCCGGCAGCATTGGTGACTGTGGCTGGGGGCTCCAAGTCATTTGCCACTAAGGACAAAAGCCGCCAAAAAATGAAATTACTCAAGCACAACGAACGAGGGGAGCCAGGGATCTTCTTTGCAGTTCCAGAGCCTTGCCGCTATATGCCGCAATTGATTTTAGTTGCCTCCAAATGCCAGAGAGGGCCACATACTATACTACGAGTATACATATATGTATGTAGTTGTATGCATATATGTATGTATAATTGTGAATAGCCTTTGGGCGTGCTGCATGTTCTGCTGTAAGTAATAAGCATTTTTAATGTCGCAACAACAATAACTGGTGGCCGGACTGGGGCCAAAATAATGCTTAACACGCCGTTGCTGCTGACATGCTCGAGTTGATGATGATGCTGCACCCTCGGGCTTGGACACGGACACGGACTCATACTCGGGCTACTCTCCCCTCGTTGTACTACTTGAATAATATTGAAATTAATTATTTCTGATGGAAATTATTAAGTAATTTTTATACGGCCCGCAAGCCTGTTTTAAGCAGCTTTTGCTCTTTTTCTTAATTAATTATATTTATTAAATAACATAATAAATTAGCGCTTGCTTGCACTTGTTGTTATGCTTGCTCCAATTAAGGAAGTGCCACTCCAAGAAAACGCTCAGGCCTGAATCGAGATCGAGACTGAAACCGAAGTCCCGACCAAATTGGCTATCGGCTCGACCGGTTTCCTTTTAGCTCATTTTTTCCGTTTCGTGGCTTTGTTGATAACGCGCTTTAATTAAAAATCTGCATACATTTTTGGGCACTGCCAAGTCTCGCTGTTTTTTTCCCCCTATCTGTATTTTTTTTCAGTTCGTTTTCTTTCTTCGAAGACGCCGAAAAAAAAATATCAAAATCAAAAGCGGTGCAGGCTCTTTTATGACAGATCTCACTTTAAAGTTGACGTCCGAACTGTCAGAAAATAACACTTGAAGTCTGTGGAGAAGCAGCAGCCCCTGTCCCCCTCCACGTCCCCGTCCCCGTCCTCATCCCAGTCCCCGTTCCCTGCTCCTTCCTCGGGCTGTGCGATTTTCTGACTTCGTATTATTTTGGTTGCTTTTTGATGTGAAGTGAAGTTAATTTAGCGAACTTCAACTGACACAAAAGAAATTGCTCAATGATATATATACATACTTGGACATTTAGAGCGGTACATGCATAAAGGTGGTATATTGGTATATCCGTATAAAAGGGCAAGGGCCTCTCAGAAAAGTGCAACCTTAAGCTGTAATGGCATTTTGATGAGTGCGAAGTTTTTTCGTTAAGCCTCTTTAGTGCCTATTGGGAATCATCTTGGTTCAGTTTAGAGTGATTACCAGGCCGAATTACCATGCTGTTGATTAGTCTCAATCCCTCTGAACGTTTTGAAGGATGTATCGACTCAGTATACAAAAATTTAAGTTTGAACGGAAAATATATAACCTGCATAAACGCAACACTCAAGTGAGGGTGCCATAGATTTTCATAGCAGCCCGGTAAATATCGTAGCCTTTAAAATTAAATTTCAACATACATATGTACCTTCCACAGCTTCCGCAAATATCAGCCCTTTAGTAAATCTATAATTTACAGATTCACCAGTAAGCTTATTAATGATCATTATTATATGCATCGTAAAATATTAAAATATTATTAATCGAGGTTCAATCAGTTATTGAGATCAACATAATTTCAGAAATTTATACTTGTAAATATTACATTTAGGACTTCGTTCTATAAGATTAAATTATATTGATTGATGATTTCTGATAATTTATTTTCTCTTGCATTTTTATTTTTGTGCGAATAATTAATGAAAAGGCAGTTCGCTTTTGCACGCTTATCCTTCATGGTTGGTTTAACATATTCCGGATAAAGAGGATTCTGACTGTTTTCGTAAATTACAGCCTTTAAGGCTGATCGTTTCCTTAAGAAGTTGGAACAGGAATATAATCACGCATATGCCTGGGAAGATTTGATAGCCTTGACTTTGCTAAGTTTATCTCAAATCATTAGCAATTTCTGAATCTATTATTTATATGAAAAGTTGTTCACATATGACATCATTTGATCTAGAGGCCCTAAACAAAAAAAAGATAATTTGGTGGCCACACCACAGAGTTCACTTCGCGAGTTCCCAAAGAGGGCTACGAACCTTTCACATTTACACATAATAATGTTTTGGGCTTTGGTGTTTTGGAAAGTTGTACCTTACGAGATGCCTGTGAAAATGATTTCGGATTCAAAATGAGATGAGATCGGATGAGATGAACTGAACTGAGGCTGAAATGGGTGGGTATGGATGAATGGGAATTTGTGTGATTCTTCCAAAGGTCCGTAAACAATTTGCAAATGGCCACAGAAATGTGCGTCGTGGCTTTATCTTAATGTAACAGTCGTTGCCGTTGCCCACTCGCAGCAGAGAAAGTAATTATTGGCTGGTCAAGTGGCTCCGACACCCATCAAAATCAACGGACGTCTCGACTCTTATCCGATAAGAGGGGCACCGGGCGGAGGCGAAGGCTGAGAGCTGCCGGATAAGGCGCGGCGCAGATGAAAGTCGCTTGGGGCGTGTGTTAGGATGGGCAGCCCTGGAATCCGTCTTCAGCCTCCTGGGGACGGTGGTGTGGCGGCTCGTTTGCGCCCATCGTCACTTGATTGAAGGCCCAGAATGCAGAAGCAGGCAACAAATCAACGCCAGGCCCGGACCGCAGAAAGATGAACTGCTTTTGATGCAGATTGGGGCAGGAAACCATGCAAACTGACCTACAGCAGCATTAAGAAGGAGCCACAGAGGAGGGATACTCGTACGTATGTACGTACCAGTCCCCCAGAGTTTTATTGATGCAAATTGCACGCCCAGGGCCCTGTAATCAGCTCTGGGGCCGAGGGCTGTGTGCGTGTAATTTGAGCGACAAGTCGATCCCCTGCACAATCCGCATCTTGATGGCCGAATTGGGTCACATTTCGTAGCGTGGAGCTCACTTAACTGCGATGATGGGGCACATAGCTAGAACAGGACGCCACCTAGTGTTCGCTGGAGTAGCTTTGATTGACAGAACCTGTGTTCCTTCGATTCGTTGCGATCGCCCTTCGGTTCGGGCCTTGTCCTTGCCATGTAACCAGCTTTAAATAGCTTCAATTACAGCTCAAGATTGCATAATGCTGGGCTTCGTTCCCTCATCTTCCCAGCCGTGTGGCTGTTGCTCCTGTTTTCCCCTTTGGGGCTTTGAATTTAATATATCTAGACATCGGACCGACTGGCTGACTGGCAGGCTGGCATGCTGGCAGGCTGGCAGAGAGCTTGACGAACGACAACGGCAACGGCACGCCAGGAGGTCATGTCACAAAAATATCCATTAACACATCATAAAAATTAAAAATTAAGAAACCATACGAGTCGGCAATAAAACCGCAATGCCTGTAAAATAAAATATCTGTACAGTAAAATAAAAACGCCAAGGCATGCCAAGATAATCGCAGAGCCGACGGACAGAGAGACAGACAGACAGACAGACAGACGGGGAGAGAAAAGTGAAACCGGTAATTATGCATTATGTATGCACGCCACCAACGCGGCGGATTAAAATGGGGAGACGTTGCTGGATCCGAAGAGAAGGAGCCGGGTAGCAGGATGGATGGTCAGCCCGAAGCTCCACAGAAGTCAAAGGGGAAGGCAGAGGCAGTACAGGGTACTGAGAGCCAGCTTACTGTCTGCCCACGCTAAGTAGGAAATACTTTTCTGTGCTTTTCGGCAATTTACGTGCCATGGCGCGCGACCCGCAAACAAAAGACTTAAGCGACGAACCTGCAGTACCATAAATTTCACTTAATTGCATCAGGCAAAACCAGAATGCATCCATCCAATCGATAAACAAAAAAACGCAGCCACAAATAAATGAGTCCAGCACGCAGGCGAAATGCTTAATGCCATCAGAGGCAAAAAACCAGACCAGCGAAAAATATGCAAAGCACATAAAATTAAGTAAAACAAAAGACCGGCCCAGGCCCAGGCCCAGGCTCAGGCCAGAACGTTTATCTCCGCTGCGATAGTGATTCCATTGAAATGAAATGCATGTAGAGCAGAGCAGGGCTTGGTCTCTTCTTCCGGCTGGTACGTCAACTGGAAATTTGTCTCCAGAGCTGCAACAGTAGCAGAAGTGGCAGCAGCATCGCAGTAGCTCATTTTCATTGTGTTGCATGCAGAGCAGGGGCTCAATTTTTTGAGGCAATGACAGTGAATACGCCACTCGTATTTTTGTTTTTCTCTGCATTTTTTGTGTGTGTTTGTTTGCAGGCACGTTGTAAGTGTTAAAGTCAACAATCGTGAGAAAAGAATTTTATTGTTGTTTCGCCTGGGCCTGTGTGTGGGGCTGCACTCTTTTTTTTTTATTCATTTTCATTTTTGTGGATACTGAAGGTCACTTCTGCCTTGATTGCTGCGGCCGTTGTTGACTTGAGCCGCCGAGTGGCTGCGATTTTGTGAAGTTGAATTCTGTTTTCGTGTCTTTTTGGCCTTTTTCGACTCTACTCTCGCCTTTGCCGCATACGAGTATGATGCCTGCCAGCCAGAGCCAGAGCCAGAGCCAGACAGCCGGAAAGCCAGAAAGACAGCCATCCAGCGAGCCAGCCAGCAGGCCAGGCCATGGCAGGCAGCCTTTGTGGAGCTCACTCTTGTGGCCGTATTTTGCTGGGTTATGTCTCTGTTTTGTTTTGTTTTTTATTTTTTATTTCTTCGGGTTTTGTTTTCTTATTCCTCGCTCTCATGTTAAATTGTCCGTTTCATGTTTCTGTTTAAATGTCAGTTGTAATTTGTTGTATTAACCCATACCACATGAATTATGTTTAGTTCGAATGTAATTGATTTGAATGCAATTTGAATGGCAACAGCAACAGCAACCACAATGGCAATATTAACAATAACGGCTACAGCCTCAGCCACAGCCACAGTCAAAGGCACAGGAGCGTCGCGTCGCCGGCACGGCAAATTGAAAATTGCCCTCAACTTTGGCCAAGATTAAATGGAATTATGCAAAAGAGCTGCCTGGGAACAAGGCCTGCCCGATCATAGCCAAAGCCCCCACGAGTTGAATGAGAACTTCATCAAGAACTAGGTGCAGCGGGATGAGGCCGACTTCGCCTCCATGTGGCAATCACAGCAGAACGTAAAAAAAAGAGCAGAGAGCCGGCGGTCTGTCCCACTGTCCAACTTAAATGGAAATCAACATTTGGGTCATTCTGTACCTGCGTACTGTACTTTTGTACTTTTTTTGTGCAACACATTACAGGAAGGCCATTAATTACATATGACATTGCGTTGCACTCGCACAACAAAATGTAAAAAAAAACAAATACAAATTTAAAATTTTTAAGAAGTTACATTCCTACATTCAGGTAATTCTCAAAAAAATTACAGTAATCAAACGTACGGCTTTAAAGATATCAGCCAAAATATGACCTTCGAGCTTGGGTTACAAAATTGCAAGATACTGCGACTATCTGTTTAAGATTTGCTGTACTGATAATGGGAAATGTTGTGGGCACATTTGTCGAGGTTATTAAATACAAAAACCTTTCCTGTGTTTTTGTATTTCATTTGTCGACCGTTAAAAAAAATAAGAAATTTACCATCAGCCAACATAGAGATTTTTATCAATATAATATATAAGAAAGACTGAGGGTTTTTGGAAAACCTTTTTCTAAGAGTTCCATATTTTTAGGAGTTTTATGCTTATTTTATACATTTATACATCAAAATCGTGAATTTATGCGTCAATTGGTTAAATTAATTTATTAATATTATTATTATTTGAATGACCAAATACTTAAAAATGCTGACAACCCTGACAGCAATAGGCTGACAACCCTTGTCATTTCAAAAAATGAATCAAAATTAGTCAAATTTAAAATTTAGCATCCGTGCCGAGTATATTCATTCAAAACTAAGGATCCAGGATTTGTATAAGGTGACCGACCCCTTCACACAATTTCCGTATATTTTGTAAGTTCAAGACGAGCAAAATTCCAAAACAAAAGATATCGAAATATATTAGTGCGCGAGTTCCGGGCAATGTATTTAAGTGTGACTATGACAGACAACGTGTGCATATTTTGCTTAGACGAACAGCGATTGCCCCATCGCATACCCTGCGGACACTCGTTCTGCTCGGAATGCTTTGAGCGCTACTTGCAGGTGGGACTCGACACTCGCTGCCCCCTGTGCCGGCAGGACTTTCGACCCCATGCCCAGGGAGAGCCTCTCGATCGTGCTGCCAACACTGAGCGGTACCCTTTGGACGAGGATGACCTGACAATGGGACTGATTGAAGACTTTGGGTCCCTTTCCGGCAGTGACACTCTGCAGACCGACACTCTGTTGCTGACGCTCACGGAGCAGGAGTGTCGGTTCTTCGACGAGCTATACAGGGAGGCGCAAATGGAGGACGGACGGCGACTTTCGAGATCTCTGTAGAAGATCTCTGATAGCAACTCTGTTACCGAACTTCACGGCGCAGAAATGGAGCCTTTCAGGGACCCCTTCAGGGCCTGGTACGGAATCTGTCCTCTACAGGGAGATGCAGCTAGAGGAAGGGCAAGGAAGTCGTGCCCCTGGTAGAACTGAGATTTCTGTTTTTTTTTTTCTATCCCTATTATTCTTAATTTAAGTACATTTTTATATTTATTGCCAATAAAAATATTCTATGAATATCAGCTAGGCTTGATGATGGCAAGATATAACAGGGATGAACACAAGCAACCTGTTCCAGAAATGTGCTGAAATATAGCACACCCTACGGGTAGCATTTACACAAGAAAAATCAAAAAATATATGAGCTCCCATCAGATACTATTCTCGGGTCTCGAAGCCAAAAGCATGGCCATGTTTCCAGCTATCTGAATCTCTGCTATCCAGTGACTGCTCCTCCATCTCCATCTCTGGCCTCTAACGCTGTGCCATCGATCATCATTTGTATCCCCTGCTTTGGTCTAACCGATTCTGGCCGCGGCTGGCGCAACTTAATTAGACGCTTAGACTGGCTAATTGCCAGTCACCGGACTGCAGCTCTGGCTGGGGCTGAGGCTGAAGCAGAGGCTGATAAATTGATAAACTTCGGCTGCAGATGAACAGCTAATGATGGCCATTAACAGCAGTGACAGCGGCAGTCGCAGCACAGCCGACTGAAAAATGGTGCAAAAATGTTTATTAAATGTTCATGACTGACCGACGCGTCGGTCAGTGGAGCAGGCGGGCCGGACCAGGCCTAGCCCAGCAGCACCCAGCACCCAGCTCCCAGCTCCCAAGTGCGGGCCCCGGGCTCGGGGCTCAGTTGAGCGCCGTGGCTGCATTTGTTTGTTTGTCTCTTTGGGTCTTTATCTCACGAATCATTTTTGGCTGGCCATTTTGACAGCGTTTTGAGTCAACAACATGGCGCATGCAGCAGATACAAATCTAAGCGGCGCATTATGCAATGGGGCAGCGGCAATAGCCGGGGCGATCGTGCAATATACAAATGCTAAAACCAAAAACTATCTCATGGATTTGCGCAATTTGTCATCCTGGAATCGGCATCGGCATCGCCATCGGAATCTGAATCGGAGTCGCTGCGGAGACGAGTGGGGGAGTGGGGGTGAGTGGGGGGGCACTGGCAGTGCGTGTGTGCGGGCGTGGCCGTTGAACAGTTTTATTGATAAGGCTTGCCAGGCCTGGCCCGATGTTGCATTTAGTTGGCCAATTATTAATGCCTGTTGTCGCCGGCCTGCGTGTAATTTGTGGCAGTTGTACCAACCGCTGCCGCTGCTGCCGCTGCTGTTGCTGCTGAAACGCGATACATATTGGCGGTTGCTCATTTATGAATGTCCAGGCGATGGCCGCGATGTTCGATCGTCAATCTTCGAACTTAGCCACGCTTACATGTGATTTAACAAGCTAACAAGCAAGCGGCTTTATCGCCGATTAGGTGCACTCGATAAGAAGGGGCTCCAGCTCGGGTAGCCGACAGCCAGAAAAGTTCATTGAACGCGGCTTTCAACAGCTCTAAAGCAAAGCGGTGTGTGCACCATGCAACATGCAACATTTTTAGCATTTTTGTTATCGCAAGTCATTTGTCAAATTGCTAAACTGACATTAAAACCGCCTTTCCTGTGGGCTGATAAACCAATTTGACATTTCGCGGCGATGATCGATGGATCCCGCGCCCCGGGATCCCGGGAGTGAGTGCTGGCTGGGGCTGGTGACATTTTTGCGCCAATTTCGGTCGCTGGGCCATCAGTTAAGCCCAAGCCACATCACAACCATCAGACCTCCAGACCTCAGAGTGCAGCAATTCGCATTTTTCGCTTTCAGTTTTCCTTTAGCTGTTTTCGGTTTAAGGTTTTTCGGTTTCTTCGGTTTCTTCGTTTGGCGTTTGCATGCGTGGGAGTTGCACGAACTGTGTCGTTAAATAATGCTCCATGTTTGTCCTGCACGAGACCCGCGAAACACGGGCCGCGAAACCTAACCAAACCAAGCCAAACAAAACGGGCAGGCCAGCAAACAGAAAGAGACCAACAGCTGAAACTGGTTGGCCGGCGACGAGCGCGGAAGCGCTGCTAAAATGGCAACTGGAGCAACGTTTTGGGTGGCCGGACGGATCGCGTAGAGTCCTACCTGGGATACGGGAACCGAGACCCGGGACCTGGGGCCGGCCTTGCATTTGATGTTGATGTTGCAGCCGCCGCTTTGTTTAATTGATAGACGACGACGACCCACGCTGCGGCGGCTTCAGCTTCAGCCAGACCAGACCAGGCCAGACCATGCCACGCGGCAGTGGCACGCGATGGCTGCTGCTCTTTGCCAGGCCGCCCGCCAGTGGCAGAAAACCCATCGAACTCAAACTGTGCGCATGCGCGCATGCGAGGCGACGCGGCGCGACGCGATGTTGCGGCGTTGACAGATTGATGCCCCCTAACAGTGGAAGTCAGGGCCCCCGCTTCATTATTCAAATTACTTGTGTGTTTGTGCGGAATTTATCAAAGTCCTCCTGCAGCAGAAGAGGCACAAGACAGAAGGCTGGGAGAGCATGGGGCATGAGGCAGGCGGCATGTGGGCCACTCGTGTTATTGTTGTGTGTGTGTGTTTGTGTGTGTTCGCGTGGGCGTCAAATGTTGTTTTCCTCTGCTCGAAATAAAACTATTTGCAGGTCAGTTAAGATAAGTCTTTGGAGCATGTCCATGTCCCAGACAAGTCCAACTTTCCTTTTGGCTAAGGGCAGCCGCAGCAGCCTCATTCGGCAATGGAACTGGAACTGGAACTCGAACTCCAGCTCCAACTCGAACTCGGGCTGTAACTCTTACTGGAAATGTCTGCAACTGGGTGTGGCAGAAATTCTCATAAATCTATGGCCCAAAAAATCCCAAAAACTTGTGTACGAGTGAGTACATATGTAGATAGGTATATTGTACATATGCTTGGCCGGAGTAATTAAAGCAGTTTAACATGTCTGAGAGCTGGCCAGTTTTTGGAGCTGTCACAACATCAACAAGCCTTCATTCATGCACTGCGACAGCCAAAAGCCACAAGCCACAAGCCAGCCAGTTAGCAGGCCCAGTCCGTCCGTCAGTCATTCATTCATTCAGTCAGTCAGTCAGTCAGTCAGTCAAAAGCCAGCCAAAAACTTGCCATAAATCAACTCATTTGAAATGCATCAAAGGCAGCAATCAGAAACAGAAACAGTAACAGTAACAGTCACAGTCGGACACAGGCTGCCCCAAAAGAAAAACGCAGTGCAGGCAGTTGCACAAATATTTTTACACGTTGCCAGCCAGCCAGATTTTCAATTGAAATTGAAATTGAACTAAAAGTGACAATGCGCGGGCGGGGCAACCAAAAAAAACACAAAAAGCAACAACAAGAAAACAGTAACAAAAAAAAAACAGTCACAACGCTGTTCAACTGTCGATGCTGGGGCGTGTTGCACAATGTGTGAAAACAGGACCAAAGTCCTGCCTAAACATTTGTCAACCCAGCGGCGTTTATATAATCAACGATGCCATACCGACGGATTTTTCTTGTTGCTGCCTTTTTGCGGCCGCGTGCCCGCTTTTGTGGCATGAATATACACCAATTAAACAGTTTGTCTGCATGCAACGAACATGCATCAATCAAATGCCTGGGAGGACAAACATGTCGTCAGTCGGTCAGATCTGAACCGGAGCTTAGCTGCGCTCTGATTTAACCAAAAAATATGCATTCGAGGTCTGCTCCGTCAGTTTCGAATGGCATAAGCCAGAGCTGGGTGCCACCGTTTGTGGCAGCCCTCGCATTGCCCTAGGAATGCCAACACAAATGCAAATGCAGCCGCAGCAGCAGCCGCAACTCTTATGACAGCCGCCAGTCCCGCAACCGCGTCTGCCCCTAGGCTGGAGGCGTGGCTCTGACAGTGCTGGCTGCTGCGGCTTGACTTGGTTATTATTAGCATCGTTTGGCCAGTGCTTAATTGATTTGGTTGTTGGCCATGTTAATTGACAGCACGCACGGATGTAACATTGCGATAGCCGATAGCCTGACACAGGCCAAAACCAAGACCAAAACCAACACCAAAGCCAAGAAACCAAAAACCAAAAACCGAAACCAAAAACCAAAAGCGCAGTTAGTTGGCCAGTCAGTCAGTTGTCAGTCAGTGAGGCAGTCACTGAGTCAGTGTCAGTCCAGTCCAGTCCAGTGCAGTGCAGTCCAGTCGAGTCCCACTGCAGCTCCTGCGACTGACCATCGATGGGGGGCATTGGTTAAAAGGGGTTTATGGGGCTCAACTTGCAGGCAGTCGGTAAATTTCACTTATCAAGAGCGAAACAATTAACGGCAGTTGCACGAGTTATAAATATAAATGTCAGGATGCCAGACACTCCACTCCAGACACTCTAGCCTGCCTCCGAGCCCTGAGATTCGTGAGCATGTTGACCCACATGCAATTGGCAACTGCCACATGCAATTTGCCACCTCAGCCTCGGCGAAAATTATGATCGCCAGCATTTCCTATGCCAGATAAGGCGACTCAACTTATGCACAAATGTGGATAGTGACTAGCTCTCGCTCGAATTCGAGTCTGTCTCTGCCTCCGACTCCGTCTCTGACTCTGACTCCGACTGCAACTTCCCACAATTTCCACACACAAAGTCAACAGCAACATTTTCGTTATAATTTCTATTATTTTCCCTTTTGGCATAATTGCAGACAATTTACTTAACGATCAATAGCGTCAAACGGCAGGCAGCCTGCCTTTCAGGCTGGCATAGACGTCGAAAAATTTATTAGCTCCCGCAGCTTCAGCCTCAGCCTCAGCCTCAGCTCTAGCTCCAGCCTCAGCCTCTCGACTTGGCCATGTGTTGGCCTCTTGGCAACACAGAAAATGTTGCCAGCAGTCAATGCTGCTGATGCTGCATCCACATCCGCGTGAGAGCCGCTCATCGTGCCCGGTTTTCTATCCTTGAGCCTCGCCGGCTAATGCGACCAACATTTTTCTTGGCTTTTGTGTGGTTTCTGTTGCCATAAAACATTTATTTAAAATGGAGCAGCGTTTCTCCATCCACCACAGGCGACCACCACCAGCCACCAGCCAGCAACCACCAAGCCACCAGGGCAGCCAGCCACCGATCCACTGATCTGGCGATCTCCCCAATGTCGAGGC